ATGAGGGGTGTACATCTATGCAAATGTCTATGTATCCCCACGGCCACATACTGTCTCGTTTGAAATAATGACATGAAAGAAACTACATGTACAATTATTCCATTTATATCACAGGAGATTTGAACATACACCATTTTTTTAATGAATAAAATTAAAGATATAAAATTAAAAATCGACATATTGAAGTTCAACAAAACTTGAATTCGTATCCAGGTTTCATGTGATATGGAATGCATAACGCATACATATATGGACTAAATACTAAAATCCTTCAGTATTTTTTTCCTGATACATATAAAAAGAGTAGTCAATATTTATTCTGCATTCATGAATTTAAGAACTAATGCATACCTCCGGGATTCAAATGACGAAATACCAGTATATTTGCACTGTAAACGACGTTTCGTCAAACGACGCAAAAAAAGGAAGGGGTGGGGGTGATAGGGGTATTCAAAAATTGCCTAAAAATCTACATTTAAATATGCTTTACATATGAGAACTTTTAAATTTGTAAGTTAATATATTTTTGAAGCAAAAGCAATATTTCAATTTAATTTTTTTAATGTGTATTTGTAGATTCATATAACAAAGTGATCGACCCCCGCCTGAAAGACGCGCGGGAACGTGATTTATTGAGAAAGGGGGAGGGGGGTAATTTTCCGCTATTAAATCAAAACTGGTCGTACAAAAATTATACAAAAAATTATGAAGATTATTTTTACTACCAGCTACCTAAAGAAAGTTTTTTACCAAAATTAAACGACAGGTTTTTTCACAAAAAAATTTTGAATTTGAAAAATGCGCAATTTTCAAGGCTTAGATAATTCATAGTTTTTCTGTTTAAGGTCTTTAAAAATTATTTTGATGATATGTATATCAAAAAGATGACTATGTTTTTGTGTTAAATGGTTAAAGGAATAAGCCAATGAAATTTGACATTGATATCTAACCTGGCTTTTTGAAAATCAAGGATTAAGTAGTTCATTGATTAAAAATTTTCTCTCCTTGTAAACAACTAAAGGGGGGTAATTTTTGGAAGTTCCTGTCCAAAAACCACTCGAACGATTTTGTCCAAAATGTGCATACATACACTAGATATAGTCATGTACTAAATATACAAAAATAACGAAAATTAAACGACAGGAATTTTTTGGGGTAGGTGTGTTGTACATCCTTCTATCCTGAGAAATAAGAATATCAGCAGTCTCGTTAAAAGTCATCATTTTGTGTAAGTTCTATGATCGTACATTAACCTTGTTAGCAAAAAAAACTTATCATTGAGTAAGATGCTGACTGGCGTTTTTTATACTTATTGTTAGTCCATTATTTATACACTGTTTGACGACTGATTTTTTCGTTATTTTCCGACCATGACAAGAAGCACACGGCGGGCGAGACCGGTCAGCAGGGGATGCTTACACCTCCATGGCACCTGATCCCACCTCTGATGTTTTGAAGATCAGTGTTTGCTCTGCTCCCATTTTGTTTTGTTTTTTGGGCTTTTGATCTTGAATACTGTTCGTTATCTCCATATGTTTTACACCATATATGTCAGGTACATTTTGTTAAAGTATAAGTAAAAATACGAAAGCCCAGAAGGCTCATTCGAGATTCAAGTTTCGAAATACGAGATTCAAAATTCGAGATTCGAAATTCGAGTTTCGAGATTCAGGATCCAGATTAACCAATCAAAAGGCTCATTCGAGATTCGAGGTTTGAAATCCGAGATTCGAAATTCGAGTTTCGAGATTCAAAATCCAGATTAACTAATCAAATACGGGTTCAACATTTGATTACTTCCCTTTATTATGTTTTATCTATCAATAAATCGTTTAATATATTTATAACAAATGAGTCATTTGATTAAATTACAATACAAGAAAGAGTGTTATATATATATTAGAAGGAAAGTTAAATAATCATTTGATTTTTGATCAGCAAGATATACTTCAATTTATATTATGACTTCTTAAATATTAAATAGAATACATATATCAGGAATATATATTTTTTTGCATTGTCTACTGTATATAAAGGGTTGCTGACATAATGATACAGTTATAAATAGTGTTTAAAGATTAACAAAATCCCCACCCCTACCGGCAACACCTGCCAATACGTCGTTTCCGGGATCCCCCTTTTAACTTTATCTATCACGTGACTTTCATCATCACGTGATAAAAAGTTAGGCATATTTTGTTCAAAATGGCGGCGGAAAGTCACCGAAACAAATCCGTGGCTGAATTGAAGGCATTTTTGTCAGATAGAGGCATCAATACATCACTTTATCGCACAGATGCATTAATACGTATTGCAGAAGCTGCATCTGCGTTAAATCTAGAGCCTGAGACGGAGAATTACGGGAATTATCAGACTGAGAGAGCAAATCGAAGAAGTGTGATAGTCCAAGGAACTTCTGTGACTTTACCTGATATCTGTTCCGTATCAGACTGGCAGCAAGATTTGTCATTACTTCCAAATATTGAAACAGGGGACATCATGGTTTACCTAATGACAAAGTGCTCGTGGACCGAATCGCGGCTTAAGGCATACAAAAATGACAATGGCTACAAACTTTTTCAACATAGACACATTGACAATGTTGTTGTCAAATTCTTATCGTACAACCATTTCTATATAAAATGTACATGTGTTCCAGAAACTAGACAGTCAGAAAAGCCATACACAACATGGATTCTTATGGATAATGATGGCACTGTAAAATCTGGGGGTTGTACTTGTGTTGCGTAAGTTAAATGTTTATATTTGTATATTGAATAGTTGAAAAAAAATGTTGAATATCTTAAAGTTCTTGCTCATATGTGATTAACAGATTGCCATAAGTTTAAAAAATATTTTACCATAAACTTGATAAAGTAAACATTTAAGGAATGTTTTTCAGTTTTGTGTGAGTTATTGGTGTGTGAATCACACAGACTTGTCACGTAGGCATATTTCATGAAGCGCGCTAGCGCTTCATGTAAAATATGCCTACGTGCAAGTCTGTGTGATTCTCACACCAATAATTCACACTAAACTTAAAAACATTCCTTATATTTACATTTTACATGTTTGGAAGCACCGAAAATATACTCAATATTTGAATTTCTCGCTGCCCTATATTGTTATACTTTTACTAATGTCGCTGTAGCCCTATTGTGACGTCACGGTAACTAACTCACGTTTCTCCATGTATATTTCTACACATGAGTATACACAAAAATGATTTTCAAATCAATTTCACAGTTGGCTTAGTAGAAAAACACAGCGAATGTAAATATTAATGTATGAAAAATGGAGAATACCAACAGGTTCTTTACTTTGATGTAGTGCTGGAGCTCCTTTAAACTTTATACCTCCCAGTTACATATTACCGGTAATTATTTACTACATATTTTTCAACAATTGGAGCATTCAACTTGGTATCCTTACTTTATTTCAGTGATGACGGAACATGCAAACACTGCGTGGCTTTGTTATTTTCTCTTCAGTCCTTTTCTGAGAGACACAAGGATAGGGGAGAGGAAACCTGCACAGACAAACCATGCAAGTGGGACAAACCAAGGATAACTTCACACCCAGTCACTGTTGGGGAGATATCGTTTCGTAGGAATTCAAGTCATCCAGATAAAAAAGACAATTACAACCCGGTTTCAAATCAAAGGCATATATCACACAGGGAGATCACAAAGATATTGTACAAAACATGTAAACATTATGGTTCTGTGTTTATGCACACTGTAGATCCACCTTCGGACGATAGTAGTGATGAAGAAGATTCATTAGAAATCAAGGAACTCAGTGATATAATAAGTGATTACAAACAACAAAATCCAATCGGAAATGAAAATGAGTTGATTGATTATCTCAGAAAAATTCATTCAAAAGATGTAATTAATCAAATAGAAAATTTGACTAAGGATCAAACAGATAATGCTATGTGGTACAAATACAGGAAAGGTCGAATTACAGCTTCGGTGATGGGTTCTGTTTACAAATGCAGAATTGAAAATCTTGCAACAGAAAACTATATTGTGAAAAAAATTTTTGGCAGATCTTCTTTTTCTTCTGCAGCTACAGAATATGGGAAAGCAATGGAAAGTGTAGCTCTTCAACAATACTTCTTTCAATACTCTAAAGATCATTCAAAAGCCCAAATTATGAAATCTGGTTTAGTAATTAGTGAAAATTATCCTTTTATAGGTGCATCCCCAGACAGTTTAATTTCTTGCCAGTGTTGTGGTAATGGCATTGTGGAAATTAAGTGCTCATACACCCATCAGCATAACTTTATCAAGGACATTGCTGCAAGTAATGACTATCACATACTTTTACACGAGGATAATATTGTATTGAATAGATCATCCTCATGGTACACTCAAATTCAGACTCAACTTTTCTGCACTGGGCTTCAGTGGTGTGATTTTGTATTATATACCCGAAAAGACATGGCAATTGAAAGAATTGTATTTGATCCAGAATACTTTGATTGTTGTTTAAAAAAAGCTTGTATCTTTTTCCACAAATTCTTGACATAAGTTGTATAAATAAAATACTGAGTGATTGATTGCTTTATTATATCAGAATCAAATTATACACTTAGATCGTGATTAGAGTTAAACAGTATAAGTATCAACAGCCTTAAACATTTGATTACAGGTACACAAAAAATTGTACAAATTTTTTTCAGTTGATATCAATAACCATATAATCATTGTCAAAGATAAATGTAACTTCTACAGAATTCAGTCAATTATCTGACCAGGTTTCACAAATGGTAACTTCTATAGATTTATGTCAAATATCTGACCATGTTTTACAGATGGTAAATGTAGTACAAGTGTATAACTCATGATTTACAATTGAACATAGACAGTGCAAGTTAGTAGCACTAAAGTAAATGCAGATATTTGTCGTTTTTTTTTTCAAGATTGATGACAAAATTAAATATTGTTTAAAATGAGATCATGGGATTTATTTGATTCAAACTGCATACAGTGTCACTTGGTTACAAGAGGTTTCTTTAAGTTACAAAAGAATGCACCTAAAATGATCATCGGATTGACTAAAGATTTCATACTCCAGGGTAGAATCTGAGAAATTAGTTTAAATGATTTCAACCTTTGAATGGCTCTCTCAACATGGATTCTCAAATTTGCAATTTGACGGGTTTTTTTAATTTGAGTAGATGTAAGGTACTTCCCTTTGCCCCAAGTACACTTACGAGTAAATGTTCTGAGTACCGTTTTATCCCCAGTGCAGTATCAGGGTAATGAATTGAAACTTAATGAGAATTTGTACCTGACTCTGAAAGTTTGCAAGACTCTACAACTGTTTCATACACAGCAAATGGCAGGCCCACACTTATGTCTACTGGTACGTGCTGCTGAGATGACGATGATACTTGCAGCATATGTGCTGGGTCTGTAAAAGATAGTTTTTTATTACTAGTCCAAAAGAACTTCATTGAATGTACACTGCATGGGTGATTATTATGAGGACAGCTCTATTTACAATAAATTCATTCCATATTACAGGGCTGTCCCTAAGACCTGAGAGCCAGGGGATTCTCCCCTTTAGTCAAATTAGTGGCATATGATGCCCTGGTTATTTTGGGATTGTCCCTCAATTTACTGTTAGAGGAGTAACCCCAAGTTTTCCTTCTATTTTTTAAATGCAACCCACTATTTCAAATCCTTGGGGACAACCCTGCATATGATGTTCTTACCAGGTAATGTGTATTTGGAAAAGATGGTAACCTCAGATGTTAGTTATACACATGTAATCATATCAAATTAAGATGGATATCAGGTGAATAATAAATAATTGTGCTAAGACTGGACCTATGTCTGATATGAACAGCTGATAAAGGTGATCTTAGCTCAAAAATGCATACATTAATGATAAGTATTAAATTTGTATACTTTTAGCTGTTGTCTTTATGTAGGGTTGGCCCATATATTTACATTTGTCATACCTGAGTTTTCCTTGTCTTGGAATGCAGGTGCTGTTGCACTTTGCTCCATTGCTCGTTCTCGCTTCTCAATAGACAGGGGTTTTGTTGTAGATACTGATTTGTAATTATTCCATGGGAAAAGTTCTGGGATTGTATGATTTTCTGAGCGACAATTTCCTACGAAATGTTTCGTGCAAACTCTGTGATGAGCTAAAGGTTCACATTCTTTGGGGCGCCGTATCATGGTGATCCATTTCGCTCGAAGTTTTGGCTCTTTGCGTTTCGTTGGGAAGGGTTCAAAGGAGACATCCTCCATCCAAGGATATTTATCTAGTTTATTTTTCTTTCTTGAATCGGAATTGCACCCTGGTACAACACACCAATACTTGCCCTTTGATTCGGGAGTATTTTTTCGACCCACCATGATTTGTTTACGTTTCATAAAACCCCGCGTCAAAATGTGCCTAACTTTTTGCAGAAGGATAAAACGTACGCTCAACTAGGACCTGAGGTCCCCTGCAAATAGTTCGTCATTTTGCGTAGTAATAAAACATTCCAGGAACTCTCCTGGCATTAAAGGCACAAAAGTAAATTCATCGACATCAATACGGAGACCTCAGGTCAACTTATATATTAATTGAATTTTATATGATAGCCATTTTTCTTTGTCTTACTCCAAAATAATCATATTTATAACTTTATAAAGATAAACTTTCTAATATATATATTAGCAGAAACGTGAAAGTAATAAAGGGTGACCAGAGGTAACCTCATATTGTACACCAATAGGGGGACCAAAGATCACCTTACATTGTACATCAGTAGGGGGACCAGAGGCCACCTTATATTTAACATCATTAGGGAGACCAGTCACCTTACATTTTAAATCAATAAGGATCCAAAGGTAATCTTTTATTGCACATAATAGGGGGGGCTGGGGATACCTTACATCGTACATCATATGGGGGACCAGAGGTCACCCTATATTGTACATCAGTAGGGGGACTACAGGTAACCTAATATTGTACTGCACATCAGTAGAGGGACCAGAAGACACCTTATATTGTACATCAGTAGGGAAACCACAGGGCACCTTATATTGTGCATCAGTAGGGGGGCAGAGGACCTTATACTATACATCTTTAGGGGGACCAGAGGTCACCCTACTAGTATATTGCACATAAGTAGGGGGACTACAGGTAACCTAATATTGTGCTGTACATCAGTAGAGGGACCAGAGGACACCTTATATTGTACATCAGTAGGGAGACCAGAGGGCACCTTATATTGTGCATCAGTGGGGGGGCAGAGGACACCTTATACTACACATCTGTAGGGGGACCAGAGGACACCTTATATTGTACACAAGAAGGGGGGGGGCAGAGGTCATCTTATATTGTACATCAGTAGGGGGACCAGAGGACACCTTATATTGTACATCAGTACGGGGACCAGAGGTCACCCGATATTTTACATTAGTACGGGGACTAGTGGTCACCTAATATTGTACGGTACATCAGTAGAGAGACCAGAGGTCACCTTATATTGTACATCAGTAGTAGGACCAGAAGTCATCGTATGTTGTACATCAGCAGAAGGACCAGAGGTCACTTTATATTGTACGGGGACTAGTGGTCACCTCATATTGTACTGTACATCTGTAGCAGGACCAGAGGACACCTTATATTTTACATAAGTAGTAGGACCAGAGGTCATCTTATATTGTACATCAGCGAAAGGACCTGATGTCCTCTCTTGTATATCAATAGGGGGACCAGAGGACACGTCGGTAGGGGGACCAGGGTTCACCTTATATTGTACATCAGTAGGGGGACTAGAGGACACCTTATATTGTACATCAGTACGGGGACCAGAGGTCACCCGATATTTTACATTAATACGGGGACTAGTGGTCACCTAATATTGTACTGTACATCAGTAGAGGGACCAGAGGACACCTTATATTGTACATCAGTAGGGAGACCAGAGGGCACCTTATATTGTGCATCAGTAGGGGGCAGAGGACACCTTATATTGTACATCGGTAGGGGGACCAGAGGTCACCCGATATTTTTCATTAGTCAATGACTAGTGGTCATCTCATATTGTACTGTACATCAGTAGAGGGACCAGAGGTCACCTTACATTGTATATTGAACATCAATAAGGGGACCAGAGGACACCTTTTATTGTACATCAGTAGTAGGACCAGAGGTCATCAGCAGGGGTACCTAGGGTCACATTATATTGTACATCAGTAGGGGGACCAGAGGTCACCTTATATTGTACATCAGTAGGGGACCAGTAAGGGGACCAGAGGTCACTTTATATTATACATCAGTAGGAGGACTAGAGGTCACCTCATATTGACATCAGAAGGGGGACCAGATGTCACCTTATATTGTACATCAGTAAGGGATCAGAGGCCACTTGATATTGTACATCAGTAGGGGGACTAAAGGTCACCTCATAAAGTACATCAGTAGGGGGACCAGAGGACACCTGATATTGTACATCGTTAGGTCACTTTATACAAAGGTCGTTTAATAAATAATGTCTTCGGTGCTCGGAAAGAAACAGAAGTCCCCTTATTGATGTTTTCAATAATTTAGTTATAATGATTTAACCGAAAATTATCTTTTATTAAAACACATGTAAGTAACATTTTTTATCCAATTTCTGATTCATTTTCAATTGTTTTTTGAACTCATTTTCTGGTATGAACCTTTGTATACTGGATTATTGCAGATCCTATGATTTCCTGGACTGTGTCTTCTTTCTGAAAGGCGTTTTCTCAAGTTTGGCATATGGAACAAATCAAATGGCGAAAGATCTGACGAATATTGTTAATGTGAATGAACATTAACTTTTGTTTATCCCCAAGACTCCTTTACTCTTCAGGGCTTTCGGGTTTGAACGCTGTTATGAAAAAAATCTAATGTTGTGGATTCCTTATTCTCATTAACCTTTTGATTTTTTTGCCAAAAAATTGCTTTCTAGATTCCTCCAGAAATTAAACTGCATCCCCGAATACGAATAATAATAATACCAACAAATAATAACAATAAGACCACTAATATTTAAGAAAATTGCCTATGAATCTATCTTTGTGCTCTTGCAATTCTCTGCTCTTCTCAGACCTTTGCTGTTTTTGTCAAGCAATCAGAAATTTAATAAAAATGTTTCGGACATGTGTTTCAATTAAAAGAGAATATTTTAATTAAATCATTAAGACAAAATCATAGAAAAACGTTTTTTTGTTTCTTTCCGAGCCCTGATGACATTATTTATTGAACGCCCCTCGTATCTGTACCTTCTGGTCCGCCCTTGTTTTCTTTTTAGGTGTCTGTTGGTTAAGACGGGTCTAGAATCGTTGATGCTTTATCTCTCAGCATTCATATAATTTTTTTATGACTGATTTCTTTAAAAATGTACAACAAAAGGGACCACTAGTCTCCCTATTTATGTACAATACAAGGTGACCTCTTGTCCCCCTTGTGATGTAAAATATAGAGTGACCTAAGGTCCTCATAATGATTTACAACATAGGGTGACCTCTGACCCCCTATTGATGTATAAGGTGACCTCCGTTTCCCCTTATGATGTACAATATAATCTGACGTCTTCTCTTGTACAGTATAAGGTGACCTATGGTCCCTTTTCTGTTGTACAATATAAAGATGACCATTAGTCTCCATAATGAAATAACATATAAGGTGACCTTTGGTCAACTTATTGATGTGCAATATTAGTTTACCTCTGGTGTAACGAACGTTAAAACTGAACTGAAGGCTCTGTCCCCCTACTGATGTATAAAATAAGGTGACTTCTGGTCTCCCTACTGTTATCTCCTACTGATGTACAATATAAGGTGTCCTTTCGTCCCCCTTATGTTGTACAATATAAGGTAACCCCTGGCCCCCTACTGTTGTACAATATAAGGTTACCCCTGGTCCCCCTACTGTTGTACAATATAAGGTGACCCCTGGTCCCCCTACTGATATACAATATAAGGTGATCTGTTTCCCCCTACTGATGTTCCCTACTTATGTACAATATGAGGTGACCTCTGTTCCCCCTTCCGATGTACATAAAAGGTGTCCTATGGTCCCACTACTGATGTACAATATAAGGTGACCTCTGGTCACCCTACTGGTGTACAAAATAAGATGACCCCTGGTCCCCCTACTGATGTATAAGTCCCCAATTTATGAACAATATAAGATGCCCCCTGGTCACCTTGCTGTTGTACAATATAAGGTGTCCTATGGTCCCCCTACTAATGTACAATATAAGATGACCCCTGGTCCCCCTGCTGATGTATGATATAAGGTGTCCTCAAGTCTCCCTACTGATGTAAAATATAAGGTGACCCTGGTCCCCCTACTGATGTACAATATAAGATGACCCCTGGTCTCCCTGTTGGTGTACAATATAAGATTTCCCCTGGTTCCACAACTGATGTACAATATAAGATGTCCTCAGGTCCCCTACTGATGTTCAATATAAGGTGACCACAGGTCCCCTACTGATGTACAATATAAGGTGACCTCTGGTCCCCCTACTGAAGTCCCCTACTGATGTTAAATATGAGGTGTCCTCTTGGTCCCCTACTGATGTCCCCCTACTGATGTAAAATATAAGGTGACCCCTAGTCCCCCTACCAATGTACGAAATATGGTGTCCACTGGTCCCCCTATTGATATACAATATAAGGTGACCTCTAGTCCCCCTCCTGATTTACATTATAAGGTGCCCTCTGGTCCCCCTATTGATCTAAAGTGTAATATTAGGTGTCCTCTGGTCCCCCTACTGATGTACAATATAAGGTCACCTCTGGTCCCCTACTGATGTACAATATAAGGTGACCACAGGTCCCCTACTGATGTACAATATAAGGTGACCTCTGGTCCCCCTACTGATGTCCCCTACTGATGTTATTTAATATAAGGTGTCCTCTGGGTCCCCTACTGATGCCCCCTACTGATGTACAATATAAGGTGCCCTCTGGTCCCCCTATTGATCTAAAGTATAATATTAGGTGTCCTCTGGTCCCCTACTGATGTTCAATATAAGGTGACCACAGGTCCCCCTACTGATGTACTATATAAGGTGACCTCTGGTCCCCTACTGATGTACAATATAAGGTGTCCTCTGGGCCCCCTACTGATGTACAAATAAGATGATTACTGGTCTTCCTACTGATTCAGAGTATAAGATAACTTTTGTTCCCCCTCCTTATGTAAATTGCATTATAACGTTTCCTCTGGTCCCCCTACTGTTATTCAATTTAAGGTGACTTCTGGTCCCCCTACTTATGTACAGTATAAGGTGATCCCTGGTCCCCCACTGATGTACAATATAAGGTATCCTATGGTCCCCCTACTGATATACAATATAAGGTTACCTCTGGTCCCCCTACTG